CTAGTTGTCTGAGCATCTGACACGTCTTCTGTTTTCCTTAATTCGTTAGTGGACATAGGCGATTCTTTGAATGCTGTAATAGTATGGGCGGTGCTTTGGTCGCTGTTGGTGGTTAGCAGCCCTTTACTAGATGTTTGTAAAATCGACTCAGTTGATGGTTGCTGTGCTGTAGTTACATTAGGAAGAACTACATAGATAAATAGTATATTAATGTTATCACTTTGTAAGTATCATATTAGTGCTGCGAAAGGATTACAAAATACTTAGGTTCACAAAAATAATATATGTATTATCGTCATGTCATTGTCGTCATTATCATCTTTATCCTCAATATCATCATTTGCTCGGTTGCCAGTGTCCTTCAAAAATTGGATCGACCGTATATCTTTGTGTGATCCTACAAATTGACCATTAGTTGATAAGATGTTTGACTTCATTGATATATTTTAGAAATACTTACTACATTCATAAACACGCATTGCAAATACACCACCACATTCTTGTCCCGAATTGCCTTTACATGGAGTTGAACACTCTGACGACGACCTCATTCCATACCTTTCGTAATCAGCAGTCTGACTACCACAGAAACACTGGTCACCATTTTCTAATCCCGCATACGCATACCCATGCCCGCAGCAAACTTGTAGGCATAGATCGACTGTCATACCGTTATAATCCGCACAAAAATACTGTCCAGTATCATTCAGACAGTGTCTACACGTTCCTGTTATTGATTTGTCACATTTCAGATCAGGAAGAATCCGATCGTTATCGTCTTGAAAACAACCAATAATTTTCCAATCGTAATCCTGTGCGTCTGCAATGATCAAAAGAATACTAATGTAGATGTGTCCTCAAGATGTCTCCTCAAAATGGGGTGAAGTTTTAGAATTTTTCTTTAAAAGACACCAAATCCAACGTCCCACCCTCAACGTAATTTAAAGTTAATTCCTTCCTGTACTCATGGCTTTGCAGTTAATCTTAATAAAAGCTATATAACATTTTAAAAAAAAGGAGAGTGCCACCCCATTTTATGGAATTATTTCAAAAGCATTCGTAAAAATATTGACGAAATAGATACCACAACAGGGTAGGCCTAATGGGTGTATAGTCTCTTAGAAAATTCCTGATGTGATGTAAACAAGCACAGAACTAGAGTACTCCATCAAATCCAAATGTTCGAAGACGATTAAGAAGAATCTGGTGGTTGACGGTTTTGAAAGCAGATGATAAATCTAACATCGCAAGAGCCACAAGTTTGCCGTCGTCCATCGTAGATGTATCGTTTGTCACTCAAACCAGAGCCGTTTCAGTAATATGCACGATAGGCAGATTAAAAAACTGCTGTGATATTGTATTATATTTCATATGCGGACGGACCCCCTCTGTGAAGAAACGTAACAAAATACTACTGGGTCCTGGCTTACAAAAGGCATGCTAACCTACCTTGGCATAGGTTGGTAGATCAGACGAACTAGGCTTAGCCCAACTAGTCTTCAATTAAATAAATTATACGCACTGTTTTTGTTCGACATCGTCATAATTTATCTACGAAAGTGGGTTCTTCGGGCCTATCTTTTCATCGATCCATAGAAGAAAGACTCGTATCTAACTATTATCAATATTGTTGGCATCAACGGCGGCGGAAGCGAGGGAGCCAGGGGGCCATTGGGCCACCCACTTTTTCTACTGGTGGGGGGAGGCTACCCCCGCCTGTTCCCATCACCAGTGACAAACATCTTACGAACGCTGCAATGTCATTATTATTATTATTATTATTATTATTATTATTATTATTATTATTATTATTATTATTATTATTATTATTATTATTATTATTATTTCATACTTACACCTTGTTTATGCGCCTTATATATTGACCTTTTATTATTATTATTATTATTATTATTATTATTATTATTATTATTATTATAAAATATAGATTTTTTTTTCATTTTCTAACGAACATTACCTCATTTTCTTACCTCAGCCCCAGCAGTTGTTGGGCTGAGGCGGGTGGACATTCTATTTACACAAGACCCTCCCTGGAACCCCTTTATTTCGACTTCACAGTTGGAGTATTATTTCTGGGCTACATAGAAGGGTAATTTTTATCCATCAGGGGAAAAGTGAAGTTTTCGTCGGGGAACCCATATCAAGGATAACCCTCATAATAAATATTTCATTGAGGTCTTCGAAGTAATCTCGACTTCGAATTTGGTCGGAAATCTGTGGCGCGTTCAAGGGGAGGGGGAGGATAAATTGTTCAATTTTTTTTTTTTTTTTTTAATGGAGATAAAGGAAAATTATATTCAAATTTAACGTCTGAGAGTGCAATTTCCGGCCATCTAGAGGTGCCATAATCACAAATTTTCTTACCTCAGCCCCCAACCATGGTGGGGCTAAGGTGGTACCGATTCTTCACCTGCTGAAGTAGCCAGTGGTGTATTTAAGGGGACCCGGCCCGCCCCCACCCCCCTAAATTGTTCAATAAAAAAATGGAGATATAAAGATAATTATATTCATATTTTAAGTCTGAAAGTGCAATTTCCGGCCATCTAGATTTGCCATAATCACAAATTTTCTTCCCTCAGCCCCAACCATGGTGGGGACTGAGGTAGTATAACTCTTCTATCTGTGAAAGCACCCTCCCTGTGCCCTTCTATTTCAAACTTCTGGTTCCGCCACTGGAAATTACAACAAATATGAAGTCATATTGCAGAATGGCTCTTTAAAAATCTCTGGAGCAAAAGTTTGGAACAAAATCCCAATCAGAATTCAAGAATGTCAA